TCACCTATAAAAAGAGAAGAATACTAACTCCTATCTAAGAGAGTTGTTAGGATTAAAAGAAATGCTTTGACACAGAAGATTGCCTGACAGTGTGGTAAGCACTTAGTAGATGTTAGTTATCACTGTTAATCATAACTGTCCTCTTTTTCCTCCTCCTACTTGGTCACTAAGATATGTCAGTTTTTCTTTTTAGACTCTAGTGCATTGATTTCTCATTTCCCACTGACACTGACACCATTCTAGACCATGACATTACTACCTCAAACCACAGTTTCCAAGAGAGCTTCATGTAGCACTTCTGTCCCTCATGTCCTTTGTGCTTGTGTTTTTCAGTATAGGATAACAGTTTCACATGGTCACTTCCCTGCGCAAGAGCATACATCAGTCTTTCAGAAACTTGTTTTATCAAGTCCAGACTTGATAATGAGTCAGAGTCTCATTCTGTCTTAGTACTACTCTCTTATTGCATTCAGGCCAATTTCATGTTTTCTCATTTACATCATACATTCGGACATTTGCTCATGTTTTTCCTTCAGCCTTTATTCCCTTCCTGCATGCCCTTACACTTCTTCTCTTACTATTTCTGTCCTACCTGTTCTTCAAGAATCTAGTGTTTCTAAGAAGTCTGGCATTTAAGAACCCACACACTTAAAGCGAATTAACGTATGACAAAGGAGGCAAGATTATACAATGGAGGAAAGACAGCCTTTTTAATAAATGGTGCTGGGAAAACTGGACAGCTACATGTAAAAAAGTGAAACCATTTTTTAACTCTGTACATAAAAATAAGCTCAAAATGGAATAAAGGCCTAAATGTGAGACCAGACACTATAAAACTCCTAGAGGAAAATATAGGCAGAATACTCTCTGACATAAATTGCAGCAATCTCTTTCAATCGATCTCCCAGAGTAATGGAGATAAAAGAAATAAACAAACAAATGGGACCTATTTAAATTCAAAAGCTTTTGCACTGCAAAGGAGACCATAAACAATATGAAAAGACAGCCCACAGAATGGGAGAAAATATTTGCAAATGATTTGACTGACAAGGGATTAGCCTCCAAAATCTACAAGTAGTTTATGTGCCTCAATATCATCAAAACACACAGCCTAATCAAAAAAAGGGCAGAAGACCTAAATAGACATTTCTCCAAAGAAGACATACAGATGGCCAAGAGGTACATGAAAAGATGTTCAGTTGGTAGAAGGGATAGTTAGGAAGTTTGGGGTTAGTATGTACACACTGCTATATTTAAAATGGATAGCCAACAAGGACCTACTGTATAGCACATGCGACTCTGCTCAGTGTTATGTGGCAGCTTGGATAGGAGGGGAGTTTGGGAAAGAATGGATACATGTATATGTATGGCTGAGTCATTTTCCTATGCATCTGAAACATCACAACATTGTTAATCGGCTATGTTGTTGTTTAATCGCTGAGTTGTGATAAAAAGTTAAAATATATATTTTAAAAAAAGAACTAAGCTTGAGTAGTAACAGCATTGGTAAAACTGGGAGAGACTCAGAAAGACAGCTTGAGTTAGAGATTGGAGCATAGATTGGGGTTCAGGGTCTTTGAATTCACAAAGAGCAGGTAGTAACTGAAGGTCTGAAAAGCAGATCTAAGAAGAAAAGATCAGTTTCAGATATAAGAATTGAGAGGTGGAGGAATGTTAAGTGAGTGACAACTAAGAGCAAAGCAGTGTTGAAAATCTGAATGTCATTCACGTTTGAGACAGATCAGGACAGGTCCAGATGGATCAGATGAATTTTAAGGTCCACATGGTAGGGCAAGACAGTGTATTTCTGAACTGATTGGAAGGAGTCAGTAATGTTAAGATGAGGAACAGGTGTTAAGAATCTGAAGCAGTTGGTATTGGTGTCTTGGGCATTGAAAGATGGGGGTTGTAATTGGATCAAATAGAGCCCCTGTTTAGTCTAGAGTATCAAGATTAGTACAGGATGACAGCAAAACTGAGTTTGCTGAGCCACAGGACAATTTATATTACCTTCTGGCTAAGATTAGAACTGGGTTGTGAGAATATTGGTATATGGAGGCAGCTTGATAGGCTCCCTTGACAGAGATGTGAGAATGGAGTGACCACCATTAATCTGATTAGTAAAGCCTTCAGTGATTACAGCGTGCTCAGCATGTGTCCCATGTTACTTTAGTCCTAATTAAGGAAGCACATTGCTATCTTGTATGACTGTGATTGACTTATGTGACTCTCTTTTTCTGTGTTTAGTTAAGATGAGTACCATTTTTAAAATAGCTCTATTGGAATATGATTAACATTCAGCTGCATATAAAGTGTATAGTTTTATATATAAGTTTGAAATATGTATATACCTGTGAAATCATTACCACAGTTAAGACAGTGAACCTACTCCTCATCTTCAGAAGTGTCCTTGTGCCTTCTTTACCTCTCTGCCCTTCTCCCCACCCTCCTACGTCCACTGATTTCCTTTCCGTCACTGTGGTTTTTATTTTTTAGAATTACTTACTTTTGTTTTTTAATTTAAGATAGCTGATTCACAGTGTTGTGTCAGTCTCTGCTCTGCAGAGTGACTCAGTTTTACACACACATATATGTGTATATTCTTTTTAAAAATTAAACATTTTTAATTATAGAATTATTTAAATGGAATCATATAGTATGAAGCTTTTTGTCTGTCTTCTCTCACTCAGCATATTTATTTTGCTTTATTTTGCCATTCCTTTTTTTAAGCATAATTATCTTGAGTGTGTCAATAGTTTGTTCCTTTTTATTGCTGAAAAGTTACTTTGTTGTATGGATATTTTGAAATTTGTTTATCAGTTCACCTTTTGAGGGATGGTTGACTCTTTCTGTTTTTGGCTATTGCAAATAAAAATGGGGTGCATATTGGAGTATAAATGTTTGTGTGCACATAATGCTTTTTTTCTTTTTTAGGAGTGGAATAGCTGGCAGGAGTTACATGGCAGAAGTATGCTTAGCTGTTTTTTTTTAAAGGAAGTGCCAAGCCATTTTCTCCAGAGTAGTTGTGCCATTCTGCATCTCCACAAGTAGAGGCTGAGTCGGCTGCGCATCCTCGCCTCACTTGGTGTGCTCACTCGCTTTACTGTCGCTACTCTCGGGGGCGCCGCGGGGCTCATGGCTTTAACCTGCCTCTCCCTAACGGCTGGCCGGCGCAGAGCCGTCTCGTGTGTGCCTTTTTGCCGTCCCAGGTGTTCTTTTTGAAATGATCTGTTCACATGTTTTTCTACTTAAAAATTAAAAAAATCATAATAAAATATGCGTAACATAAAATTTACCATTGTAAGGATTTTTAACCATTTGTATAGTAGTTTTAAGTGCATTCACATTAGTGTGCAGCCATTCTTCAGAATTCTTTTTTGTCTTGTAAAATAGTTACCTGTGTCTTTTTAAAGCATTAGGTTGTTTTGAAATTTCTTTGTATAGTCAATACAAATCTTTTATCAGATATTTGCTTTTTCTTTATATATTTAGATATAAATCCATTATCAGATTTATGCTTTACAAATATTTTCCCCCAGTCTGTGTTTTGTCTTTTCAGTTTACTGTGCATCTTGAAATTGGCCATGATGCGAATGATTTACTCCACATTAATAGGCAGATTGCTACAAATCAGGACTTTATTTTTTGTTGATTATATGTCTATACTCAAGAAAAGAAATGGGGAAAGGTTAATAATGCAGGTTAAATTTTAATTATGTTATGTCTATAACCTTTACAGTTGTGACTAGCACAAAGAAATGAGGAAGGAAATATGCTTTCCAGTATTTGAAAAACTACTGTCTAATAAACAAAGACATTTTTCAAGTTGTTGAATGAGTGAAATTCAGACATATGTCTTCATTGTTTCACCCTTGTCATTTGCAGTCATTATTTGGCTAATGATTAAAGAGGTCAGCTAAAATCAGGGAAAGCATTCTGGGACAGTCAATTGCCTGTGAGGATATTACATTGCAGTAAAGGATATTACATATTTTTTCATTGTTTGTAAATTGTGTGATATATATCTTTTTATTTCAGTAAAATTTATAATAAGCTTCTGTACATGTATACACTTTTTTTTTTTTTTCCTGTAGAGCCATTTGTTAAACATTTACTGGCCACACACTAGAAGCATTAAAGAAAATATTTCTAGACTCACATAACTTGAGTCAAAAAAGAAAATTGAAGTTCTGAAATGAAGTCATTGTATGGGTGATCAGAGAACCAATGTAAAGCTAAGACCAGAGGGTGAGAAGGATAGAATGCATAATAGTGAGAGAAAATGAAAGGGCATAATACGTAAAAGGTCAGGTCAGTTCTCTTACCTCTACATATGCAGAGGGACATGAGCTGTTTCTTATAGGGTATTTGTTTTGCTCTGATTTGACTTGCTTTTGATCTTACCATTTTTGTGTATGTGATAGTCTGTTGATGGTATTGAACAGGAATGTTAAAAACTCATATATTATTATTAGTGTTACATTGCGTGTTAAGTCGCTTCAGTTGTGTCCAACTTTTTGTGACCTTGTGGACTATAGCCTGCCAGGCTCCTCTCTCCCTGGGATTCTCCAGGAGAGAATACTGGAGTGGGTTGCAGTGCCCTTCTCCAGGGGATCTCCCCAACCCAGGGATCGGACCTGAGTCTCTTTCATCTCCTGCATTAGCAGTCAGATTCTTTACCACTGACTCCACCTGTGAAGCCTCTTAGTGTTACATTAGCAACTTCAAATAAGCCTAGAAAATCTCAAATCTAATTCTCCTTCAGATCAGAAAAAAAAATTACAAAATACTTTTTAACATTTAAAATTCGAACACAGAACAATGATGTGTTCCCTGTGCTATTCTAGAAGTTGCATCATTCCCTACATTGCTTTTTAATCTATACACATAATTCTGTTATGTTTACCATAATTACTATATTTCTTTCAGAAGTTATTTTTCTCCCAGAATGATTTGCTTTTGAATCTGATCATTAAGTTAAACATTTTTTTGTTTTGTAGCCATGCAGGGTATACGTACTGTGGGTCTTGTGCTGCTCATGCTTACAAACAAGTGGATCCATCTATTACGTAAGTAATATAGCTAGATTCCATTTTGATTAGGTGATTGGAGATTATATCATACTTGCTTTGTCACTGAAGTAATTTGTTTTACATATTTATTATATATTTGATTTCATTAAGAATTTGACTTTTTATCAATTTGATTATAACATATAGGTTATAAAAAGCTTTAATACTGTTTTTCATTATCTGAACTTTTGGTTATTACCTTCCCTTTGATGGTAAAATATTTAGTTCTGGAAATGTTAGATGGTTAACACACTATTGTGATTTTGTAAGAAATATATATTTGGTCATTTAGATGATCATAATATATTTCACATATGTATTTAGTCTTCTTCTGTAGTTCTCCAAACCGTTGAACTTTCCTAAGTGGTGACATTGACAAAAAAGATTTCTTTTATGTTAATGAAGTGACTTTTGGACCCCACCTAAGAATGGGGACTGGTTGCCAGAGTATTCAACCTGTGTTTAGAAGGTTGGAATTTTCATTCCCACTTCCTGACCTCCTCTGGGGAGGGGAGAGGGCCTGGAGGTTGAATCAATCACTATCTTGATTAAAACCCCCAAAGGGCAGGCTTTGGAGAGCTTCTGGCTTGGTGAACGTGTGGAGATTTAGGGAGAATGACCTGCCTGGAGAGGGCATGGAAATTCCTGGCTCTTTCCCCTTACCTTGCCCTTTGCATCTCTTCTATCTGGCTGTTACTGAGTTACATCTTTCTATGATAAACCAATGATCTAGTAAGTGAAACGTTTTTCTGAGTTTTGTAAGCCGCTCTAGCAAATAAATTGAACCGAAGGAGGGGGTCATGGGAACCTTTGACTTGTTATCAGTCTGTCAGAAGTACAGGCAATAACCTGGACTTATGATTGGCATCTGAATTGAAATTCAGGGAGGTGGTCGTTGGAATCGCTAATCTGTAAAGCCTAAGTGACAACCTGGGCTTGTGACTGGCATCTGAGGTCGGAGATGGCTGTGGGGGCATTCTTGTAGGACTGAACCCTTAACCTGTGGAATCTGATGTTGTCTCAAGGTAGACACGTCAGAACTGAGTGTGCCCCTCTCCTGCCCTCATGAATGCACTCAGTGGGAGTGGGTCCAGGAACATTACCAGTTAAATAGTTGGCTTTTTAAAATTTTCGTTGAAAACCTGAACACTTTTTAAAGAAAAATCCAAAGCCCATTGTTCTATTTTAATCACTTTATAATTGAAAATTTTTTATTGTACTTGTTAAATTCTGGTTAATGAATGAAGTAATTTCTCATTGACAGGAAAAGGTATCTGAATTATTTTAGAATCTGACAGTGAATTTAATATGGTGTTTGAAGTATACTATCTCATAATAACATAATGACAGCTCTGAAATTAGCTTAAAAAAATCTTCCTGGCAAATTGAGACTGAGTCATATAGTACTCTATAAAATGAAAAACTTGTGAACTTTAAAAAGCTTAGTATACCACTCTCTAAAATAAGAAACTTGTGAAATTTCAAAAATTTCTGCTGGAAACTTGTAATTCTGTCAGATGTTGATTGATTGGTTAGACCTGTACTAGCATAGATGAAGTATAATCATCTGTGGTGAGATGTAGAAGTAACTCACAGTAGCCATGAGTTTAAAAAGAGAATCTCGTCCTTAAAGCCTACTTCTTTGCCTTTGAGTAGTAGTTTGTTTAAATTATTAGAAAAGCTGCTCTCTTTGGTTTTTATGTAGTATGTTTGTCCTGCACATTTTATCAGGCCTTTATTGAAAGTTATTTTTAGTAAATTTTTAATAATAAATAGACTATAATATTGCCAGATGATTTGAGGAGCATCTTTAACAGATATTTCATAATACATATTTAATGTATAACTTTAACTTGTTTCATGAATAAGAGTGAAGTAGAAATTAGATTGTAAAGCTTTTTAGAAACATCCTTTATTTGACCCTGGTCTGTGAACCATCTATAATCAAGGCGAGTTCATATAACAGCTTTTTTCAAACCTTTTTCTGTTTGGCAGAATTTTTTTGATGATGTACTGAAAGGGTACCCCGGAATTAATTTGACCTAGGAGTACATAGAGAGTGTATAATGATATAAGTGGAAATTGTGTGTTGAATAAGTTGAAGGACGGTAAGAATGGAAGGGAAAAAATGGTAAAAGGGAAAGAGAGTCAAGGACTGAGAAGGTGATGGTAAAGGCGATCAGTAAAAAGAAAGACAAATGATGGATGATGTGAGTGATCACCTTATTCTTGTAATTAGTATATTGGAATTGAATTCTGAATAAATAAATTTGAAGGTCTGAGTGTTATAATCATTGACAGTTATAGTTGTGTTCTCTTGAAAGTGGCCCTCCCTGAGATTTGCAGTGTCTTCAGAGTCCTTTGAGAAAATAGACAACACATGCTTTTGGGAATAATAAGTATAGAGAAAAAAATAACAGTCCAAGAGAGAAGGTTGAACTTGATACCACTAGCTTTGATTCTTACTTTCCCATTCTCTACATGTCAACCAGGATCATCTTTTGTGTGTAGGATTTGAATGGATCTTTTACCTTTGCTTGATTTTTAGATATCTTACATGAACATTTAGAAAATACTTGTTCATTGAGTTAGGCAGGTCTTTCAAATGTTGACATTTCATCATATAATGTAAAAAAAAACCCACATTTGTTAGTATCACCATCAATTTCATTAGAAATATTTTTAATTATTGGGAAGCTGTCAATCTCACAGTGATATAAGTTTTGCAAAAGTCCTAACTTTCACTTAAAAGTTTCATTTTTGTCACTGGCAACAAATAAGTCAAATGTTTTCTAGGAAGTGTCAGGCTCATTTGGTTTGTTTTCTAGGAAATTTCTGCCAGTTAGCTAAGTTGGAATAACCACAATTTCTCTGCAGTCATTTTTCAAACTAAAAATTGTGTTCCATGGGGAAAATGTCTACTTCAGCTCACAACTCAAAAGCACACAAATGCTTTTTCCTTGAGACATGCCTCTGTATGTTGCAGAGGTGCTGTGTGCATTTATTACCACAAATTGAATGCATTTTGTCATACAGCATATTTTAATAAAACTGTATTCAGAGTTCAGCATTTAATGAAATTAAACGAAACAGGCTTTAAAAAAACAGCATGGGTGAAGGTGAAGAATACATAACTACTAGTACATTTTTATTCCATTATCTTTATTGTAGCCCGCAGTTTACACAGTCCCACTTTTGTACCACAAGTGCAAATATTAACACATTGCAAAGGCAGATAACTTCTTTGTATTATTATGAAAATAGTTTTGATTTTGTGAACTTCTTGAAAGGGTACTGAGGAATCCACAGTTCACACTTTGAGAACTGCTATAATTCAAGGTGATTGGATTTATATTGTGGATAAGATATTGGAGACAGCATCTCTGGGGAGATGATCTTTAAGCCAGCAAAAAGCCAGCCATGTGAAAAAGCTTTGAGATAGGCAAAGGTATCCTTGCCATCAGGGCACTGCAAAGAAGACCAGTGTGCATAAAGTACTGTGATCTAAGTGGGGGAGAATCACACTGAAGGGACTGGTTCATTTGAGACTTTAGAACCTGTTTTAAGGATTTTGGGTTTTATCCTCTGACCATGAAAAACCTTTGAAAGATGTTTTAAGCAGGAGAGTGATATGATCTGATTCATATTTTAGAAGGAGTACTCTGGCTGTTTAAGGAATTTTTAAAATGATACATTAAGTTCTTTCCCATATTTATAGTTCTAAAGTCTTTTCCTATTACAACTTTTAAAAACTGAAACTCAGATTGTTACTTAGATAGTGACTTGATTTTGATTCGTATCTTTCAGAAAACCTTGCAGGACAGAAAAAGAGAGCCAAAGGAATCTTCTTTGGGGCCACATGACATTTTATTCTTCAGTTAAAATATCTCCACTTACTATGAAAAATTAAAAAATTATTTAGCATGAATAGTTGACTACTTATGAGAACAGGCATTTAGGTGACTCATGTGTTGAGTGCACAGACTACCCTACTCTCTTAGTAACTCCACAAATGTTGATTCTCTGGAGGTATTCTATGTAAACTACATTATTTCTGAAAGAATGCCTAATGATTTTTTTCCTATTTTTTCATATTACAGATTTATTTTATATGTATGGTAACAGTGATTGATTATATGCAGATATTTTAAAAGTAACCCCTTTATGACAAAGCACTTTGTAATTAATTAAAGGGAGAGAAAGTGGCGTTACTTCCAATGCCTGTATTATCCATTTCTCTCCAAAATATGTGTATGGCTTAGGTGTTTATGGACCTAGCGATCTGGGGGGAAGAAAGAGAAAAGATGTTATTTTTTACTTATGCTACTAATTGTCTTTTAGCATGTAGCTAACACAGAGATTCAGTCTGAGGCTAGTGCTCATTGAGTGTGTACTTTGGTTTTCCTTCTTTTCAACAATACCTAGCCTTTTTTGGTTTGTTTTTTGGTATATCACTTTTAAGGGTTTTGTATTGATGGGACTTAAATCTCTTTTTTCTCCTGGTATCTCTCTTAACTAAATGCAGAACTTCACTCTGTTGCTTTTGGGTGAGTTTCAACCCTTGGGGTACCCAGCTGGATAATTCAGACTGATGGGAGCTCTTTTCCGCCCTAGGCTTTATCTTTTCATCTCCGTTGGGTCTGATGGAAACCCAAGCAAGGTGAATAGCCACGTATTAGATTAGAGGAAGCAGTTAGGCTTTCTGACCTCGGGTCTTTATTTCTGAAATAATACTCAAATTTTAGTCTCTGTCAGAAGAACCTTGTTACACTTACCTATGAAATATATCTGTGCCTCAGTTGATATTATAAAAGTCATTTCATGTTTTAATTATCCTGAATTTCCAGGAGTGCTCTGATTTTAAGTATTCTAGTCCTCTTTTCTTAGAAATACATTCCTCAATCATAAAAATGCTTTTCTTTTCTTACTTAATTCTTAATTCATACTGGGTTGGCCAAAAAGTTTGTTAGAGTTTTCTGCTTACATCCTGTGGAAAAACCCAAAGGAATTTTTCTGCCACCCCACTATAGTACCTATCCTTAAGCAAGTTTCCTGAACACTCAGATATACCATTATTTATGTCCCACATTAGACTTTAATTTTAAAAAGTGTGGTGGTATTTATATGCCATTAAGTTATGAGAACATAGTGGTATCTTTTTGTTCATTTAGGAATCTGTGGATTTGATTTTTTTTTCCCTTAAATGTTACTGATTTGATCATAGAGATGATGACAGGAAGTGAGTATTAGCAGGGGAGGTGAGAAAAGGGATTATGTTTCTGACTAGAAATGCCTTGTGGTCTTAACATGTCTGCTGTGAGTGACATCTTTAGGATTGCAGTTTCTTGAGGAGATTTTGGTACTAAATTGAGAATCACCTTTTCCTTACCCACATCTTTCCTATCTCCCTCAACCCTCCCAACAGCTCAGATAGCAAGTAAGACACACCCAACCATAGGTTAATTTTTTTTATCTGTAATAGAATTTTATCAAAATAAATACTTTGCAATATAGCACACATTCCTTGGCCTGCAAGTTTTTGATGTGAAACAGATAGAGCTCTGGTGTCTCAGTCTTTGAGTGTTTGTCCCTTAATTGAGCAATGAGTAGCTCTTAATTTTCTAGGTATATAACTTACATATATATATATATTCTTTTTTCTTACAGTTTCCTGTCTGTGAGTGTGTGTGTGGTGGGGAAAGTTTTGTTCACATAAATCTGGGAGAATAGAGAAAATGGAGAGTTTTGGAATTCAGATCGTGGAGATGTTTGAGATAAAATGAGAATTCGTCCATTTTAATCTTGATGTTTAAGATAAAGGGATTGTAAAGATTTAGGCTACAAGTCAGCTCCATTCTTTTCTTTAGCCTATAGTGCAAAGAACACATGATTACATTTCTTTGTTTTTGAGAATGACTTCTACTTGAATAGGAACAGAGAAAGCTTATTACACTGAATTCTTCTCAACAAGATGCCATGGAAGAAATATGGAAATAGCTTTATCTGAATAATTCTTTGTAGTGATATGTTGGATTTTCAGACTTTATACTGTTATGTAGTTTTATTAAAGTTGTAGGTAAGTTTAGGATGTGTTATAAGTTTGAGATTTTATTTAATAGCTGGAATATTTAAAATGTAATTAATGTAGCTATTGAAAACCTGTGTTCTAGCCATTGTGAATACTAGGTGATTTTAAGCATAGTCAGTTGGTTTACTGTAGATAATTAGTAACTGGTATTTCCAGGTATTGAACATGGTTCTTTTAAAGCCCTTTTAACAGAAAGACAGAGATAAGGAATTGAACTTAATTAATTGGGAAGCAAATCATCAGGTACACTAGTTTGCTAGTGCTGCCATAAAAAAACACCATAAACTAGGTGATTAGAACAACAGAAATTTATTTTCTCTTCATTCTGGATGATGGAAAAGCCCAAGATGAAGGTGTTGACAGGGTTGGCTTCTCAGGCGGCCCCTTCCTTGGCTTGCAGATGGCTGTCTTCCTGACGTCTCTTCGTGTGGTCGGTTACCGTTTTACATGTGTGCACGCTTGGTGTCTCTTCCTCTTTTTGTCAGGACACCAGTCATGTTGAATTTAAGCCTCACCACAGTGACTTTAAGTTAAGCACCTCTTCAAAGACCTTATCTACAAATAGATTCCATTTTAAGGTACAGAGGGGTGGACTTTACATATGATATCAAGGGAACACAGTTTAACATGTGACAGTAGGTGATGAAATCAAGAAGGAAAACAGTATTACACGTAATTTTTAAAAATCACTTTTTTTCTTTTTATTTAATAAAGTTTGTGTAGAAGTGCAATTGTCCTGTGTTTTTTGTTGTATATCTCCTAGCCGGAGAATTTTCATCCTTGGGCCTTCTCATCATGTGCCCCTTTCTCGATGTGCACTTTCCAGTGTGGATATATATAGAACACCTCTGTATGACCTTCGTATTGACCAAAAGAGTAAGTATATAGAACTCTTAAAGCTTGTAAACAAAGTTTTAAAAAATAGGAATTATGAGTTTATTTTAAATTAAAAGTATTACTTTTGTAATATTTGAATTAAAAAAAAATTTGTTGAAACTAATCTGCAAAAAACAAAAACTAAGAAAATCTTCCATATGCCTAAAAGACAACTGCAGTTTTTCTGCCAGCCACAAAAATCTGTAGATTCACTAGTCTCTGAACTGTAGTGGTTATATTTATAATCAGGGAAGTACCATGTACTCACTGTACCATCAGAAAAGAAATTGGTACCCACAACAACTTGTTGAAAGATTTTGGGCATGTTAGTCTTCCTCTCTGTATAACAATTCCCTCACTGTAAATGGATAATGAGGATAATGATTTTATTTCCTTGTTTATGGTTTTTATGGGGAAAAATGAGACTGTAGTTGTGAAACTCAGCAAGAAGAGTGCTCCATAAATCTTAAGTGTATTTTATTTATAAAACATATCTATTATTTTGATTTTTAAAATAAGATTCCAGGCACCACATTTTTTATTTAGTTGTGTCTCATTTTGTACATTGAATGTGTAAAGTAAAACTTTTCCTGACTTTTAATAGCATTTTTGGAGGAATGGGTAAACATAATTTTTAAAATGCCAAACAATACGGGAACTTCTATAACAAACACTCATGTACTTATCATTCACACTTGACTCAGACTTTCCTCTCATCTGAACTCACATTCCCACATTCCCGAAAGTAACCACATTCATGAACTTGGTGTATATCCTTCCAGTTCATCAAATTATATTTTATTTATGTTGAGTGTTTATTGTTTTAAGAAATTTTTCAGCAAATTCTTTTGTAGAATGAAAGAAGTTGTTTGCAAAGGAAATGGTCACCTCTTCTTAAACTTTAGGCTTAAATTTTCATAATTTTGGGCTTTATACAGTATTAGCATTTTGTTGTTAGGATATAGCTTATTAACAAAACTGGAATATTTCTAACATTACTCCTTGGAATGGCTTTAGGGTATGTAACTTTTAAATTTTTTAAATGCTTAAAAAATTTTTTTCCCCAGTTTTATTGAGATATAATTGACATACGGCTCTATAAATTTTAAAGTATGACACAGTAATTTGACTTTTCATATATCATGAAATGATAAGTTTAGTGAATGTCATCTCATATAGATACAAAATTAAAGAAACAAAAAAATATTTCTGCCTTGTGATGAGAACTCTTAGGATTTACTCTCAACAGCTTTAAGGTATAACATGCGGCAGTGTTCATTGTATTTGTCATGTTGTACTTAACATCCCCAGTACTTATTGATTTTATTACTGGAAGTTTGTACCTTTTTACTACCTTCATCCACCCTCTGGGTCACACTTAATTTGTAAAACCTTGTTAGAGCATTCAGAAAATTTTGGTTTTGGGTAGCCTAACAATGAGAATTTTTAATCAGATACAATTTCATAGAAGAAAAGTCATACAGTTATTTGTTTCTTTCTTTGATATTGGTAAACCCCTTTAAGGATGTAGTTTTAAAAATGCTGGTTCTGTTCAATGATAAAATAAAAATTCAACATATTAAATTTCATTATTTTCTTGCTATATAATATCTGGTTTTAAGTATAATCCATCAGAAGGGTCTGAATTGCTAAATCATTTTAAAAATTTAAGATTAAGGCATGGTACTGTGGTAAATTTATATTCCAGTCTACCTGACAAGTTTAATTCTTAATGTTGAGGACAATAGCATTTTCAGTAGGAATTTTCTGTTCTTGGTATAACAAAATCTGAGGTGTAAAACAATAATCCTATACATTTTATTTAAAAATAAAACAGAACTCAAAAACTGTATTATTAAACCTCATGAGGAACTAGACTGGGGGATTTTTCCATATTTCAGTAGGAGTTTTGATGAGCCGTTCTTGTTAGTATCTACTGGTTGATTAAGGTCAAGGAAAACCTTAAACTTAGAGGTGATTTTAGATATAATGAAAGGACCTGATGAAAATTTTAAATTATTATTTTTTATGTAACTATGTAACATATGAAAATCATTACGTGTCTGACTGTTTTGTCTTATATAAGAAGCTAGTTGTTTTTTCCTTTTTTTTAAACTAAAACCAAAGGAGAATATTACGTGGTACTTTTGTCTCTCGCTAAAGCATGTAGTTTTGTGTTACTGGGTAGTCTTACAGCATGAGGATATACATTAATACATTTGTTTTACTATATTTTGAAACCTCTAGTTTACGGAGAACTATGGAAGACAGGAATGTTTGAACGCATGTCTCTGCAGACAGATGAAGATGAACACAGTATTGAAATGCATTTGCCTTATACAGCTAAAGCCATGGAAAGGTATACTAATTAATATAAGAAATCCCAGAGAAATCATGGATATTAATTTCTTTGGAATTATTTTAATTAGGGTAAGATGATCACTAGGATAAAGAGATTTAAAAATTCTTGTTACAGTGAAATAAAGAATTTGAGATTAGATTTTTCTGAACGTGGATTGAAGTTGGTTTTGAGTAGTTTGCCTATGAAGGTTAAATGTATGAAGTGGCATGGTTGTTTTATTAGGTAGAAGTATTACAAAGAAAATGCGTGTGTCTATCTATGTGTTTGTATGTATTGGTTTGCCTGTTATCTTATTCATTATATATTTATTTATCTCAGAATAACAATTAAATTCTTTCATGGTATAGTGCTCCAAGTAAGTAATCATAAAATTTTAGATTTGGGAGTAACTTTGGAGGTAATTTATTTCAGCCTTTATCAAAGTATGTGAATCTCTATTATAAAAGCAATTATTATATAGTAATATATAATAAGTGAGATAATCTATATACAACATACATCTCTTATAAAAGAGATCTCTGTTATAAAAAATGCTGACATTATTACTTGGTACCTGCTAAAAGGTCTTTGAGGATAGCATGCTCACTAGACTATAAGCAGAGTGAAGACAGGGACATTTTGTTTTCCACTTATACCCCAGTGCCTAGCACAATGCCTGTCACATAGTAGTCATTATTTTGGTAAAATGAAAGAATTGTTTTAAGAGCTTTCTTCTTTAGGGCAGTATTCAAATTAGAACGTTTTTCTTTTGAAGGTCACATATCTGTAAGTTTTTCAACCATTTCCTTCATATGGACTTAATACTCCATATGTTTTTAGTTTGATTAGTTCTAAATATGGTGAGATTATTCCTTCTCTGGTCCTCATTACTGTATTCTCCTAGGAATATAAGTGTGGTACATCTTAGGTTTGCAGTAAATATTTGTTAATTAAATGTGTTAATGAAGTATGAGATTAACAATTTTTATGCTGATATGGCTTACTTACTATTGTCTGATATATTTGTGGTCAGCTGAAACCCCAAGGATTTTTTACACTGTTAAACTAGATTATTTTCTCCTCTTATACTTCAGTGGTTGATTTCTTTTTAACCCTAAAAGTGAATGTCTCTTCAATTAATTTTAATTTTTTCATGTTGGTCTTATTCCATTATTGCAGTTTTGGGAGTCATTTCTGTTCTTAATTCTGTTATCAAAGTATTATTTATTTCTCTCAGTCTCATGTTGTCTATATCTTTTCACAAAAATAGCTATAAGGGGTTACATAAGCTGAAGAAGTTTTCAAAAATAGAGTGATATTAAATCATAAGCAGTATAATTTTAGGTTGTGAAAGTGAAAGTCGCTCAGTTGTGTCCGACTCTTTGCGACCCCATATAATTCTCCAGGAATTCTCCAGGCCAGAGTGTTGAAGTGGGTAGCCGTTTTCTTCTCTAGGGGATCTTCCCAACCCAGGGATTGAATGCAGGTCTCTAGCATTGCAGGCGGATACTTTACCAGCTGAGCCACAAGGGAAGCCCAAGAATACTGGAGAGGGTAGCCTTTCCCTTCTCCAGCGGATCTTCCCGACCCAGGAATTGAACCGGGGTCTCCTGCATTGCAGGCGGATTCTTTACCAATTTTAGGTTAATTGTGTTTTAATACATTCTAATTCTTCAGAAATTTTTAAAGCAGTATAGCCTGTTTACTTTTTGAAATGCTAGTGTCATCAGAGCATCCCATTCTTCAACTGCAACAGGACAGTAAAAGACTTTTGTTCCTGGCTAAAATGTTATTTCAAAAGTAAAACAGGTGTGATGTGGAAGTGTAGGAAAATAGAAATTTGAAACCAGTGAACAAAATTTATGTTTGTAATTTCCTCCCTATTAAATAACATTAAATTACCATTTTTAAGTATATCACTTCTCAGGAAAACCTTCCTTATCTTTCAGATTACATTAGGATCCCTGATACTGACTCTTTCAAAAGTACCCAGTACTTTTCCTTTGTAACCTTTGCTGCAAGCACTCCTTGTGTCACTTAGCCTACAGTTACCTGTATCAGTTATCCTTGACTGAAAACAAATTGCTTTAAACCTTATGACTTAAAATCATAACTCTTTTATTGCTCACAATTTGGGGGTCAGGAATTTGAGTAGGGAACACCTTGCTGTGGTCCACAAGATACTGGCTGAGATGATTGGAACAGGCCTTGAGGATCTAAGCTGACTTTTACTTGAGATACCTCACTTGTTCTCTATTGCCTGTTTTTTTTTTTTTTTTTTTTTTAATATCAGCCAGGGCTTTTCTATCTTATTGGCCTGTCTCTAGAAGGATGGTCTGGATTTCTTTACATCATGATTCTGGGTAATACAACAAAACCAGAAATTTCTTGGCTTATTAGGACTAGGCCTAAAATTGCATATCATCATTTCCACTGCATTTTGTTTCCCAAAGGAGAAATAGATACCACCTCTTGATGGGAGGAGTAGCATATGTATACAGGATTAGGAGGAAGTGTTGGCAGGCTTCTTTGTTGATGGACTACCACAGTTCTTTCTGTGGTGGACAATTCATGTTTCTCCAACATGGAGGACATCTCCTAAGATGCCCAGAAATCTCATCCAGTTATGACATCAGGTTCAGAGTTCATTATTTTATCATCTGAATTTGGTTGGGTTGTGGATGAGGCTTCTTGGGTACAGCTCTTTTTGATTTGGATACCCCATTGTCCACCCCTCCCCCTCAATATACTTAGTATACAGTTTTGAGACAAAGACAGTTAATCACATTCAGTTCAGTTCAGTTCAATCGCTCATTCGTGTCCAACTCTTTGTGACCCAGTGCACCACAGCATGCCAGGCCTCCCTGTCCGTCACCAACTCCCAGAGTTTACCCAAACTCATGTCCATTGAGTCGGTGATGTCATCTAGCTATCTCATCCTCTGTCGTCCCCTTTTCCTCCTGCCCTCAATCTTTCCTAACATCAGGGTCTTTCCAAATGAGTCAGATATTTGCATCAGGTGGCCAAAGTATTGGAGTTTCAGCTTCAACATCAGTCCTTCCAATGAACACCCAGGACTGACTTCCTTTAGGGTGGGCTGGTTGGATTTCCTTGCAGTCCAAGGGATTCTCAAGGGTTTTCTCCAGCACAACAGTTCAAAAGCATCAATTCTTCTGCACTCAGCTTTCTTTATGGTCTAACTCTCACATCTGTACATGACTACTGGAAAAACCATAGCCTTGACTAGATGGACCTTTGTTGACAAAGGAATGTCTCTGCTTTTTAATATGCTGTCTAGGTTGGTCATAACTTTCCTTCCAAGGAGTAAGCGCCTTTTAATTTCATGGCTGCAGTCACCATCTGCAGTGATTTTGGAGCTCAGAAAGATAAAGTCAGCCACTGTTTCCCCATCTATATGCCATGAAGTGATGGAAGCAGATGCCATGATCTTAGTTTTCTGAATGTTCAGCTTTAAGCCAACTTTTCACTCTCCTCTTTCACTTTCATCAAGAGGCTCTTTAGTTCTTCACTTTCTGCCATGAGGGTGGTGTCATCTGCATATCTGAGGTTATTGATGTTTCTCCCAGCAGTCTTGATTCTAGCTTGTACTTTCTCCAGCCCAGTGTTTCTCTTGATGTACTCTGCATATAAGTTAAATAAGTAGGGTGACAATATACAGCTTTGACATACTCCTTTTCCTATTTGGAACCAGTCTGTTGTTCCATGACCAGTTCTAACTCTTGCTTCCTGACATGCATACAGGTTTCTCAAGAGGCAGATGAGGTGGTTGGGTATTCCCATCTCTCTCAGAATTTTCCACAGTTTATTGTGATCCACACAGTCAAAGGCTTTGGCATAGTCAGCAAAGCAGAAATAGGTGTCTTTCTGGAACTCTCTTGCTTTTTTGATGATCCAGCAGATGTTGGCAATTTGATCTTTGGTTCCTCTACCTTTTCTAAAGCCAGCTTGAACGTCTGGAAGTTTACGGTTCACGTATTGTTGAAGCCTGGCTTGGAGAATTTTGAGCATTACTTTACTAGCGTGTGAGATGAGTGCAATTGTGTGGTAGCTTGAGCATTCTTTGGCATTGCCTTTCTTAGGGATTGGAATGAAAACGGACCTTTTCCAGTCCTGTGGCCACTGCTGAGTTTTCCAAATTTGCTGTCATATTGAGTGCAGCCCTTTCACAGCATCATCTTTTAGGATTTGAAATAGCTCAACGGGAATTCCATCACATCCACTAGCTTTGTTCGTAGTGATGCTTTCTAAGGCCCACTGGAGTTCACATTCCAGGATGTCTGGCTCTAGGTGAGTGATCACAGCATTGTGATTATCTGGGTCGTGAAGATCTTTTTTGGATAGTTCTTCTGTGTATTCTTGCCACCTCTTCTTAATATCTTCTGCTTCTGTTAGGTCCATACCATTTCTGTCCTTTATTGAGCCCATCTTTGCATGAAATGCTCCCTTGGTATCTCTCATTTTCTTGAGGAGATCTCTTGGAGGGTGGAAAAATGAAAAGCGTGTAGTGGTCTCTGTTCTAAAGCAGTTCTGAAATCTAACCAGAAAATGTCCTTGATTATGGCTTGGTTCTATCTTCTGATAGTGGTTTTGTAATTCATTACAGATGGTTCCTAATTTATGCTGGCTCCACTTTGGATTTTTTGGCTTTTTGATTGTGTGAAAGTGATACATATGAAGTAGAAACTGTACTTTGAATTTTGATCTTTTCCCAGGCTAGCAATATGTATGATACTCTCTCATGTTTCTAGGCAGTGGCAGGGAGTTGCAGCTCCCAGTCAGCCATGTGATCATGAGGGTGAACACCCAATACACTTAAACATCTTTTTGTACTCAAGCAACAATTCTGTTTTTCATTTTCAGTACAGTATTCAATAATTTGGGCTTCCTGGGTAGCTCAGCTGGTAAAGAATCCTCCTACAGTGCAGGAGACCTGAGTTTGATCCTTGGGTTGGGAAGATCTCCTGGGGGAGGGCATGGCAACCCTCTCCAGTATTCTT